TGCTCGCTTGCCTGGTGAACTCCTCCTTAGCCTTTGCTCACCCCTCCCTTCCTAGGGCCACTTCCCCAGCCCAGACCCCTCGGTTCTTCCCAGCATGCCCTGCTGCTCTGTCCTGCTGCTTAGTACTTGCCTCTGCACCGTGGTGTGCACCCTGCGGGCCCAGCCGAGGCTGTGTATGTCCTTGTCACCCTCGGTGACACAGGCCAGCCCAGGGGCTGCACGCTGAGGAGGAGTGCATGAAGAGAGTCTGGGGCAAGGGTCTGCAACCTTCCTAAACAGTAAATATCCGGCTTTGTGGGCCAGAGGGTCTCTATCACAACTCTGCAACCTGCCGGCTTCGTCAGAAAGCAGCCGGAGACGGTGCACAAGCAGATGGGCATGACAATGAAACCTTATTTACAAAAATGGGCAGCAAGCCGAGTGTGCCAGGCCTCAGTCTAGAGAAACAACAGAATACGTTCAACAGCAAGCAGGAATGTTTCTAAGGGCACTATTTCCCTTGACCAGGGCTGTGGTTTCCTGGGAATTGCTGGTGACAGCAGCAGAAGGTGGTTCAGAGACAAGCCCCCAGGTGAGCCTCTGACAGGTGTGACTTTGAGGATGAAACTTGTGGGTCTCCTGTGACCTTGCCCCATGAGGCTCCCCTGTGGCTGGCAGGTGAAGGCTGTGACCTTGGACGTGGGCGGTGTTGGACAGGGGTGATGGTGTCCAGGCGTGGGGTCTGAATTCTGCTTCCTGTCACTGTGGTTCAGGGGGAGAATAGTCGAGCCCCGTGTTGTGAGGGGGTGGGGCACCAGCAGGGAATCGGGTGAGTTCCATGGCGTGTTTGGGAACTGATCACTTGTGCTGAGTGACACGGCACCCCGGTGAAAGAAAGCGTCTAAAAGTCAAGTGTTCGGGTCCTTTCTCATCACGTATCTACTAAAAGGTTCTTGTTGGTATGTCCCTTTTATCCATAGAACATTGCCTTTTTGTAGCCAAAATTGTGACTCTCGTGATAATTCAGTCAGGTGAGAGACTGCTTTATGGGGTTTGGGGGCATCTGAGGCCTGGCAACCACCTCTGAGGGTGGCCCAGTGGTGTTCAGTCAGGGTGGCCTAAGTGTTCAGTCAGGTGAGAGACTGCTTTATGGGGCTTGGGGGCATCTGAGGCCTGGGAACCACCTCTGAGGGTGGCCCAATGGTGTGAGGGAGCTGCTGGGTGACCCTGGGGGGTGGTCCCTTCCCACTGCTTCTGCTCATTTAATCTGGAGCCACCTGGCCAGGTGACCTGGACAGGACAGAAGGTGGCTGCTGGTGGGTAAGAATAGAGATCCACAGGTTCCTCCTCAGGCTGCCTGAGTTTGGGCATTGGGTGGGGGACACACAGGCCTCCTGGGGTTACATGGCCAGTAGCCCTCAGGCATGGCTGGAGCAGGTGGGGAGGAATAAGGCCAGGCCTCACGTTATACGTGCATGATGGGGACAGAGCCAAGGTACAGCTCCCAATGCCTTAGCGCGAACTCTGAAGCCGGGCCACCGCAGTTCACGGCCCTGGCCAGTCATTTATAAGCTGTGGGACTTTAGGCAAGTTGCTTAATAGCACTGTGCCTTGGTTTCCTCATGTGAAAAATGGGGATGACGAAGGCTCCTGCCCTGAAGGATTGTTGAAGAGTGCTTGGCATATCATGAGCACTCCATGAACGTCAGCTGCCAGGAGCAGCCCCCTGGAGCAGAGTGTGTCAAAAATCATCAGGATGACCGCCCCCCTCCCCCGCCCAGAGCCCGTCCTGGCTCTTCCCACCAGTCTCCCTTTGAGTCTGAGCTCCACACCCCAATTACAGAGGGGACTCTAGAGTAAGCTGCCCGGATGGCACAAGGCCCAGGGAGAGGGAATGAGTTGCCTGGTTTCTCCAAGGTCCACAGACAGAAGGGACCTTTCTGGAGGAGTTTGGACCCCAGCATGCAGGAGGCCTAGGAGATGGTCACCTTGCCCAGACAGGTCTGCCCAGCAGCCAGAACCCTGGCCTTCTCAGCCCTTTCTCCACTTTTCCTTTGCCCTGCTGGAAAGGCAGAGGCCACAGGCACCCAGGTCAGGCAGGGCTGCTTCCCTCATTGGCATCCGCCACCAGACCCAGCCTGCACCTCCCTGGGGACTTAGAAGCTGTGGGACTTATAAGGGGGAGAGGCTGGGACCAGACCTCTGACCCACCGTTCCTCTGCACAGAGAAAGGTGAGGGGCCGTGTGGGCCCAGGGCTGCTTGCAGGGCCAGCTCTCATTTGCCCTGAGTGAAAGGAGGGTGAGAAGGTGGGTGGGGGGGGCGGGGGGGGTTGGTGTTCGGTGTCTGGAAGACCATGGAGCTGTTTGCTTCAGTAGTGCTCCTCCCCAGCCTCTGGTCTCTGGGCACCGTGTGGCAGGACCTGGAGCACAAGGCAGGGTGAGCAGCCTGCTGGGCGGGGCCCTGGGCAGCCGGAGGAACGGACTAAGGCCTCTGCCTTCTGGGCGCTGAGGCAGCACGTATTTACTGAGGCTTGCTGTGTGCCTGACACTTGGCGCGGGGATGTTGCCCTGAACCAACAGGTGAAGGTCACACTGTGAACAGGGTCATGCGGTACGGCTCGGAACCCGTCCTTGCTGGGGATGCCCTCGCCCGCCCACGTGCTATCCCAGATGCTTTCCCCTTCCCCCCATAGGCCCCAGCAGCCGGGAGGCAGGGTGGCACCATGGTGGCCTAGGCTTAGTCCCTGCAGGTGGCCCGCCTGCCCTCTAACTGTCTGTACCGCCAGCCCTGAGTGTGTTTGACCTCTGCTCCTCAAGTGCCCCAAAGGCAGCCGTTCCATCGCAGGGGAGACCTTTTCCCTGGTGTAGGGAAGGCACATCAGCAAAATTAGGCATTGGGGTTTCTAGGTTTCATCTTACCCTGAGAGACCCCATTTTCCACATAAACGACGCCTCATGCTTTATTAGAGTAGGATTATTAAGGAAAACTTGTGGAGCAGAGAACGCCGGACAACGTTCTAATGTACAGATATCCAAAAATTGTCCTCCTCTCCCTGGCCCATCCGTCCGGCTCAGACGGGGGTCGGGTGGGATCAAATGTGAGCACGAAGAGCCTGGTGGACTTCATCCCTGGATGGTGGCTGCCACTCAGCATCTTGACAGAGTGTGCTGGGGGTGTGGGGGAGAGGGGAAGTAGAGACCAAACGCAGAGATGATGACTCTTCCAGAGTCTTTTGCAGCTGGAAAAGGGGAGAAGCCGGAGAATGGCAGGGAGAAGGAGGAGCTGCAGATTTGAGGAGCAGTGGACTTTAAACTTTTTTGTCTACAACATGCCACGAAGCACCCCCTCAAAGCTCCCAAAGGAAGGGCCCACAACCGGGCTGGCACCGTCCTTCCGGGGGGCTGCGTATGAAAGAGGTGTGTGCGTTTATGTTTAAAGAAATGTAATATGGACAAATGGCCATATTTCTACCGAGCCGAAGTATGGGCCCCCCGTGGAACTAAGTGGAGGCCTCATGAAATGTGTGGCACCCCTGGTATTGACATTGGCCCAGCACCCACTGCCTCCCACATTTGAGACTTCGGTCCCTGTGAAAAGTTAAAAGGGGCGGGGGGGAGGTGGGCAAAGAGGAAAAGCCGGCCTGCTCCCCCACTGTGGCCTGGAGTCCGGGGCCCTCGGAAAAAGTCTGGATGAGGAATGATTTTGGAGCTTGGCTCAGCGAGCCTTTCGCAGCCGCCAGTGGAAACTTCCAGGAATGCTGCTCTGGGCCAGCCAGGGGCTGTTTCCGCCGCCACTTTTACGAGGTACAGACCCCCCCCCCCCCCCCCCACGGCTCCTGGCCAGCACAGGGGGAGTGTGACTATCTCCTTCAGCCCAGCCCTGCGTCTCAGGGTGCAGTGCACCTTTTCAGGCTCAGGCCTGTACCCCAGGGTTCAGAGCCCCTGCAGCCCAGGCCGGCTCACTTCGAAAGGGCCATCCGCCAGGAGGAGTAGCCGACATCTGTGCGGGATGCTGTGAGAATTTACAGCAGCCTGAGAGGGGAAACTCCCTCCCAGAATGTTTCAGTGTTTTATTAAATGTATGAAAGGAAAGTTTCCTTTTCACTGGACCAAGGCCCAGAGCCTCCTTGGAGCCTCAGGGAAGGTGGCAAAACCTCTTGGGAAAGCCTACAGACAAATGGGTAAAATTAATAGAAAGTACTGTTTCTTAATCTGACCCCTTCCTGCTGGCTGTAGGCTGCACCGCACAGGGACCTAGCCTGCCTCACTGGCGGCGGACTCACCCCATGTGGGCTGCGGGCCTGGCACACACAGGCACTCACCCCGCCCCCGAGGAGGAGGTGAAGCAGAGCTCAGCCGTCATGGCCAGCATGGGTCGGGCTGGGCGAGGGCTGGGGTTGGCCGTGGGACTGGTGGGCAGGCCCTGGGTGGGGAGTCCTTGAGGGCAGTGGGCCAGCTGCTCTGTGGGGAGCACACGGGCTCCCAGACAGCACCGGCCCTCTGCCAGCACTCTGTGCAATGCCAGAGAAGGTGGGCAGGTTTTGTGCAGCCTTGCCCAGCAGCCATGTCTGCGAGACTGGCCCTGGCCCATGAGGCACATGCAGCCCCGACAGCTGGGGGCATTTGGCAGGCCGGACAGCTAGGTCCCCAGGCCAGCCATGCTGGGTGTGTGGGAGAGGCCAGGGAGCCCCAGGGCTCAGCCTCTGGAAGCCAACATGGTGACAAGCGTTGCCAACATGGGTCAAGCTAAGAAGTGCTGGCCACCATCCTGAGTCCCCTCCTAGTCTCCAGGACTCCCTTGAGCTTGGCCTTGTCCTTCCATGACAGGCGAAAAGGGGCTCCGAGACGGAGTTAGAGCCTATCTCCCAGAGGGCATATTCCTGCAATGGTCCTCACTGGACAGGCAGAGGCCCTCCTAGGCTCAGGGGTGCTCAGTCACTCACCTCCCAGCTGAGGGGAATCCCCGGGGCAGCCCTGTAGCCCCTCCATCCTCTGAAGCCTGACCACCATTTATTTTGCAGACAGTCTCCATCCTGGAGCAGCGGCTGACGCTGACAGAAGACAAGCTGAAGCAGTGCCTGGAGAACCAGCAGCTAATCATGCAGAGAACAACACCGTGATCAGGGGAGCAAGAATCAAGAGCTCGCTCGATTTTGGGGGGTGGCAGGCTGGAGATTTGTACTATGGGACTTGGGTCAATAAATCAAGGGGATTCAGCTCTATGGGACTCACATCTGTCCCTGAGCCCCTGAGGTTATGCCCTTCTGTCCCCACCCGCTCTCTGCCCCCGGAGGCTTGCCACCTGCCAGTGGAAGGCCCCCGTGGGCAGGGCCCGCACATGCAGAGTGGCCTACGTTTGGTTTAATGTGAAGGAGTCACTTGAAAATGTTTGCTACCTCGGAGTCCTAATGGGCCCGAAGGTCACAGCTCCCCCCGGCTGCTTCACGGGGGTTTGACCCCCTCTCTGCCTGATGCCTGGCTCTTCCCACCCACGACAGCTTAGCAGTGGGCTGCCCATTGGATGGTGAGTCAGGAGTTTTCTCTTAATCTGACAAAAGGCCCAATGTGGGCCCATCCGAGTCAGGTTTGTCCAGGAGCAAGCACTCGGGGGGGTGGGGGGGTTCTGCAGTGTGGCCTTGATTCCTGCTCCACGTGTGTTCACTGGGGCCCGGTGGCTTCCGCCTCTGTATGCATGAGGGTGAAGGAATCTGAAATTAAAATGGACTTTATTGAACTTGTCATAAAAGTGGATTGTTCTGAGTGAGATTTCATCAGTCGTCATCCGCACACACCCCCCCCCCGCCCCAGGCCCATAACAGGAGAATGAAAGGAGTGGCTCTGGGGGGCCCTGCCAGGTCACCCTGGGCATTCGGGATACTCTCATCTGCATCTGGGAACTGGGGGGGCCAGGACAGCCGACGCCCCTGCACGGCACCCACCCCACTCTGGCCAGCCCTAGCTGGCGTCGTCGATTGGGTCCCGGAGGACTCAGGCACCTGCATTTCCAATTACTCCTGAGGGTCCGCGCGGGGAGAGCCAGGCCGGTGTTCTCCATGTGTCTGGGTGCCGTCCGTGCCTTCAGCATTTGGCTTCTTTGGGCCCAGCCAGCCAGGGAGGTATTTGTCCTTCAGCAGACCTGCCCTGCCCTGGGGGCCGGGGGGGCCGGGGGCGCCGTGTTAGATCTTCTCGGGAGCTTGTCAGTACCACGCAGCTAATGAGCTTCCCAGCCTCTGCGGCTTCCAGGTGGGAGCAGAGCCTGAAGGCCTAGGAGCTGGGGCTGACACGGAGGCAGCCTCTGTGGAGCCCCGATGAACGGCGGGAATGGGGAAGCGGTCTCCTCCAGCTGGTGGGGGAAAAGCTGCTCGCAGTCCAGGGTCAGGCTTCAGACTCTGCCTTTGGCCAGGTGTGTAGCCTCGGCTTGGTGACATAACCTCTCTGAGCCTCAGGTTCTTGTTTTAGGCGGGGCTGGTAGGCATCTCTCCAGGTGGTTAGGAGGTAGGCACACTCCCCACGAGCTGAGTGGGGAAGAGGCTGCTGGCTCAGGCTTTTCCGGGGGTTACCCCCGGGGACCTGCCGAGGCCTCCCACGTGACCCCGCGTGTGCAGAAGAGCTGGGCAGGCCTGCAGGTCTGAATTGGCAGGTAAGGCGGTCAGATGCCTCGGGAGGTCAGGGGCTCCCCCTCTGGAAAGGCTTTTAGGGAGTCTGGGCAACCCTAAGTGAGCCTGCTCGGGATGCAGCCTGTGGGGCCGACCTTGTCATCCCCTCCCATGCTGGCTGACCTGTGGTAGCTTCCAGACCTGAAGCTGGAGGTCCCCGTGTTGGGGTTCTGGTGGTCATCTGCAGAGACACAGATGGTGCCCCTAACGGGATGGCGGGACAGGAACCATGTCTCCAAGCATTGTATGGCAACTTGCTCTCGGGCCAGACCAGGGTTACCATCTCCCCGCCTTCAGTGGACACGAGGATTGAGTTGTGAATTTCTCTGTGAAGAAAATGGGGATTGAGAGCCTGCTAGGGATTCGGGAAATGGCCTGGGGTATAGTCTCTGTCCCTGGAAGCCCCGCCCTGGTTAGTCAGCCCCCTCACCACACGTGGATCTGCGTGCTCTGAGACAGCCCACCCTGGGCTCTCGCACGTGGAGGCAGCCACGGGCCCTCCTGAGGGGTTTCCTGCACACTCACGCACCTGCCTTGATGGAGCCCCCAGCCAGACCCGGAGCTGGGGGGAAGATGGTTCTTGGAGAGCTGTGCTTGTCTTTAAAACACCATGGAAACCCACCTCCTCTAAGCCTGAGGGTCAGCGTATGACACGCAGAGGGCAGAGCTAGGAAGGGGCCAGGTTCTTCCCCAAAGTTCCTTTTCTTGCTCATGTGGGGCCTGACTTGGGACCTTACTGCACTGAGTGAGGATCTAGGGGCCCAGATTGTTCCTGAGAGAAAGGGGACAGGGGACCCTAAGGTGCTCTGACCCCCCACCCCCCACCCCGTGAAGGTGCTCCAGGACCCTGCCCTGGGCAACACTGGGCTGGTCGGCTGTGGGGGCCCTCACAAGCGAGAGGACTGTGGGGCCTCGGTGGGCTTGAGGTGGCGTGGCAAGGTTGGGGGCCACGTGACAGGGCCTTTCGGGTGGTGTCTCCCTGTCAGCCCTTGCTGGCATCTCCCCTGTAGTAGGGGCTCCTACCAGTCCTCCCACTGGTGCTGCCAAGCTCAAAAGCAGCCTTCTGGAAATGCAAATGCCTCTGCTCAGCCACCGTCTTTCCTGATTGTGGATTTTGATAACTGAGCTCCGAAAAAAGCCCAATTGCAAGCATCTCTCTCTCTCTTTTTTTTTTTTGCTAGGAAGGTCAGGTGAGGTTAGGGGGTTTTGTTAGGAGGTATATCTCAGAGGCAATTCCCACCGCCCCCTCCTCTTGTGGCCCAGTTTTCCTAACGTGAACTTAAGGAACAGGTGTCGGTGATTGGTGATTTTTTTTTTAAGACTTTATTTAGAGAGAGAGAGCGAGAGCCTGAGTTGGGGGAGAGGCAGACGGAAAGGGAGAGGCAGACTTCCCGCTGAGCAGGGAGCCCGATGAGGGGCTCGATCCCAGGACCCTGGGATCATGACCTGAGCCGAAGGCAGACCCTTAACTGACTGAGCCACCCAGGCGCCCCTGATTGGTGATTTAAATTGCGACCCCCCCACCTACCTTTGTCAGATTCTTGGGGTTCCAGGATGAACCTGTACTTCTGCCAGAGACACTGAGGGAGGCCCCTCAGGCCAGCTGGATGACCGAGCCAGCAAGTGGCACCTGAATCCTGTTGTCACCCGTGGCAAGCCCGCTCCCCTGTCATTCCTGAGTCTCCACTCCCCATGAGCTCCTGACAGACCAGCCAGCCTGACCTGGAAACTCTGCCATCTTCCCACCCAGCACCGTCCTTTTCCGTCTGTCCCAGGACCCGCTTGCCACAGATTCATGACCTCTCCGTGCTGGTGGGCTGTGTGCACGCAGGCCACCAAGAGGGCGGAGCAGTGGAGCCAGGGGTTCGCTCTGGGAGTCGGGGGCCCCTGACTCACTGCCCAAGTCCAAATGCTGGCTCTGCCACCTGCTGGCTCTGTGATCTCAGACGAGTTCCTAAAGCTTGTGGAGCGTCCATCTGTAAGATGGTGCCAGTCTAAGCGGGCGCATGAAGAGCTCAGAGCAGTGACTGGCACAGAGTGCGAGTGTGGTCCGTGTGTGACCCCCCCCACCAGCCTGGGGTGCTGTCACTTCCGGCAGGTCAGGCCCCTTCCCCGGAAGTTGGTCCATGTGTCCATGTGCTGATGGTCCCAGGGTCCCGCTGGCTCTGGAACTCGTGGCCAGAGTTAGGATCTGTTGATGCTGTGGGCCCTGCCCTGGGCATCCCCAGGGGTGCAGAGGGATTTAGGCCGGCCGGCGGGCAGGGGGGTGCTCAGGGCAGCCCCTCCCCACCCAAGAGGCAGGCACTCTAAGGCCACCTCTTCTGCTGTCACCGAGGCCGCCCCCAGGGCCGGCACGGCCTTGAGGGTGGGTGTTTGTGATTACCCGGAATCCCGGAAACCCAGCCCGCTGAGCAAGCGAGAGCACGGTGAGTCACACTGGCCCTGTTGTCCTGGCTCTCTGTCATTAACCTCATTTTCCTAAATGATTTGCTCAAGATGGGCCCCTGATGGCTCCCGCCTTAATTGGTGTGTGGCCATTTAGGGGGGGCCAGAAATCCCCCCGGGACTTCCTACTGAGCACCCCCTGCTCCACACCACCCGCCCTGGGCTGCTGAGGAGGGACCCCCTTGCCAGGACAGCAGTGGCAGGCCGGTGGTGGCCCGGTGGCCCGGGGTGCCGTTCCACTTCCTGTGGGCACCGGGTCCTGGCGCAGGGCCCTGTCCCGTCGCCTGACGGGCGCTGCCCACCCCAGCCAGGAGGCCGTGGCGACCTAGGCTCACTGGCTTGGCCACTCTGGGGAAGTCTTTTAGAGGCTTTGCCCCTGACTCCCTACCGAGGAGGGCCCAGCCTGTGCTCAAGATAGGACTGGAGCCAGGCCAGGGAGACTGGGGCGAAGCCATTAGGAAGTTCATGCCAACCCCTCTTGGGGCTGGGAGCTGCCGTGTGCACTCTCCCAAGAACCTATTTATAGAGCAAGGCCAAGGAGTGCTTTCACTTTAGGTGAGGCCACCTTGAGCCCCATCTGCCTGGGAGTGCTTTCTGGTTGCAGGAATGCCGCCCCCCCGACCCCCATTCTCCTACCACCTATGAGAGACCGGAGTGCTGGCATAGGGAACCTGGGCAGGAAAGGAAGTCATGTTCTTTTTTTTTTTTTAAAGATTTATTTATTTATTTATTTGAAAGAGAGAGAATGAGAGAGAGAGCACATGAGAGGGGGGAGGGTCAGAGGGAGAAGCAGGCTCCTCGCCGAGCAGGGAGCCCGATGCGGGACTCGATCCAGGGACTCCAGGATCATGACCTGAGCCGAAGGCAGTCGCTTAACCAACTGAGCCACCCAGGCACCCCAGGAAGTCATGTTCTACAACAGCTTCCCTTCCTCGGCCCTAAGCTTCTCCATCAGGCACAGTGCGTGGGACTTGGGCACCTTCCGTGGGTACCCGGTAGGTAGGGGGCTGGCCCGCAGGAGCCAGGGCCCACGCTCTGCCTCGCATCCCGACGTCAGCCCTGGTCCATCTCCATTCTCCTCCCACTGGCTGCCCGGACTCAGCTTTGGAATCTGAACTGCCTTCAGAGCCAGGGATGCCCCTGAGCACTGGGGGCCATGTTTATCCAGTCTGTGTCACTCTCCTGGTCTCAGGCCTGGCCCAGGGCACATGCACCCCACTGATGCTCTGCTCCCCTCCCCGGGCAGGTCTCTCTAGAACCACCTAGTTCTAGAAGAACTGTGATGCCCCACCCCACCTCTGCACTGAGCCCCTTAAACCCTGACCGCACCCAAACACATGCCCTCCTGCCCGTTGTGCCCCCCCACTCCCAGCTCAGCTCCCAGAATCTTCCTCCTGTGACAACTGCTCCTGGATTGGCTCCTCAGAAGCCTCGAAAACTGGGAGCCAGAGAAGCAGTGTAATTAGTCCTCCAGACCCTCCAGGCAGCCTCTCTGTGCCTGCTAACTGGAAACAGAAGGTGCTTTCTGTCACAGAGCCCCGGGCCAGCCCATGTCTGGGCGGCTGCCGTGGACTTCTTAGCTCAAACTGGGAAGCTGACCTTTGATCCTGGGTTGCCCTGGTCCTGGCGTTGGGTCTAGCACCCC